CCACAGATATGTCACAGGGAAAGGAGTACTCTACAGATCAGAACAACTAATTCTTTTTGTAAGTAAGTATTTAAAAAAAGATTTGTACATATATTTTCCTTGACTTCACAATCACCTAATTTTAGAGACCAGGAAATCAGGAAACCAAAGTAATACTTCCCGGTTATTCTCCAGTAGATTTTACTTATGAAAGAAACAACTTGTATCACCTCCCAGAATTGCCAGAGTGACCTACACAGACTGTAAGTAGTATTTATCCTCTGAACAGGAGAGTAGAGGATGGAAAAAAAAAAAAAACTTCACCCCACCCCCCACCCGACTTAAACAGAAAGTAAATATATTCCAAAATATATCCTCAAACATCAAGTACGAATCTGGATTCTCAAACAACGGCTGCTCTGACAAAGCTCTGGGTTTACTCTGTCCTATGCAGGAAGGGACATGAGCAGCTCAGACCAATCAACAGGTCTTTTTCGCACCGGAAAAGAGGTGATTTATGCACAAACAAGTGGCAATCAAGTGAACACAGGGGAGATTCCAACTCATGCTACAAACCCCTGCTGGATTCCTCCAGAAGCATTTCTTCCAAATGCCTCAGCGGAGTCTCCTTGGAGGGGTTCTGATGGCCGTGGAACCGCGCTGCTCCACACAGCAGACTAAAAAAGAGAACTCGTCTCTCAACACACAGCAAAACACTGGCATGAGCGAGTAATTACCATGGCTATTAATTTCTAATTCATTTTTATACCATAGCGAACCTGACGGAGATTTCTCTGCCAGGTACCGTATTTCTAACCTAAAGTATTTTAGCAAAACTAAGTTTTGCAAGCAGCAAAATAGAAAGTAACGAAGTTGTGTCTAATTGGAGGAGAAATATACATTCGTGAGAGCACATACAATTAGTGCAACACAGCTACTCTGAAAGTAACGAACCAAACTGGGTTAATCAATGCAGCAGACATGCAGGGTCTGCTAAGTTACCTTAAAACATGTTTGCTGGTGATTAAATATGTCTACAGAAGATATATTACCATTTTGAATATATTTTCAAGCAGACCAAAAATACCTCATCTATTGGTTACTGGTGTGTTATTTTTAACTAATAAAATATCGGGAGGGATTTGGCCCCTCTTGCTATAAAAATTGCACTTATTTTCTATTAAACAAAACAAAAAAAAGAGTTAGATTCCAATTCTATATTCCAGTATATATTCACAATGAAACTGGATCGTCTCGATCGAAGTTTGCAGGAGTAGGTGTAGCAGTCCTTGCTCTCCGAGATCCCCAGGCACAGAAGGTCCCATCAGTACAAACCCCTCCTTCCTCTGTGCTCTGGTCACTTCTTCATTGTAGTGCACGGGTAATTGATTTTATTTTGTGTAAGAAAACCTGAGCTTTAAAAGTCTTTAAAAGGACCTGGAATCAAATCTGGCCCATTCTGACCCAAAACAGCTCAGTTCTGCAAGGAACTCCATCTGTCCTCGTTTCACACAGCTCCTCCTGAGACACCACGGCTCTGACCTGAGGCGAGTGAGGTGTCAAACCCTTTCCCTCCAGTCTCTCTTGACCCAGGAGACTTTCCTCCCAACACACTTCTGAGGGCTCCTTCTTCCCTCCCTTTAGCACTGCTGCCTCCTATAGGGCTTCGAAGGGTTCCCTGTGCCAATAAAAAAGTCTCTCTGCAGTAAGCACGACTTCTTGGACACCGGTGATCAACTTCCTCTTGCAAAGTCTTCTCCAGCTCATAAAATGTCATCGTAATCCAATAGTTTAGAGTGCTGGCGGGTCTTCCAGAGGCGGTAAAGGCGGAAGTCAAAGTAAGTCTCAATCATTTGCTTACCTAGGAGAAGCGAATCGAAACGGAGAGGTTACACCCTGCAGCACAAGGGAGGGATGCGAGAGGCTGCGGCAGCAAAACTCATCCCACCTACCACACGCTGCACACGGAGCGTACGGACGCTCAGCACCTACCCAGAGCACAGGAAGGTGCCCATGAGAAGCAAACATCTTTTTAGATCTCCTCAAACCATGAAAGGCTCCTTATAATCCCCTGGCAGGGTTTGTCCGTGGGGGCGGGAACTGAGCACAAAGTGTGTCTCCAGACTTTGACCAGGCTGCAGTGCCTGCAGAGGGGGGGCCGGGGGCTGTAGGGCATCAAACAGCAGCTCCAACAGCCTGCGTGAGGCAAGCTGGCACAGGGACTTCAGGAAATTACAAATCAAGAGTAAACTCATTGTAAAGATTTGTCGGAAACATTAAAAATAATGAACATTGAAAATTTAAAATGAAAACTGCTTTGTGTTTTGTTTAAATTAACATTACCAGGCTGTCTCTGTGCTGCAGAGCCGTCTTTGCACAGCAATGAGCTCAACAGGGCACAGGAATGCGAGCTCTGTGCCGCCGGCGGCTCTGATCGAAGGTGGGGGGTCTCACGAGGCAGTCAGCGACTGAAAGCCGTGCACAGGGCTGGCGCTGGAGGCGGCGAGCGCATTTGAAAACACAAGGGCAAACAACCCTGGACTCTGAGACAGGGCTCAAGCGGGGATTTTCGCTTTTGAGGCCTGATTAAGATTAGTTTCAGATGACTTTGCAAAGGATTAAAGAGGGTACATTATTGGCACGTCCCAGATTGATCAAGGGGATAAATCCAGGCATATTCTTCAGCCCAGCGTCCTGAGAGATCAACTGCTTACACACATGTGCACAGAACCTGCTGCCTTGCCTGCCGAGCTGCGTATAAACCCAGGAATTTTCCTGCAAGTTGCTTCTTGGCACACATGTACGAGCATGTTCGCTGTGGGATCTGTGCAAGCACTGTGTAAAGCTGGGTCCAAACCTCGACAGGACACACACAGAGTGTGCTCAACTCCTGTACACTGCTATGACAGTAAGCAGGAATTAAGAATAACCCATCAGTGCTGATGCCACCTGTGAGCAGCAGAGGGGGAATCCACAGTGCTTATAGCCTAATGCTGCATATTTTTAATTTTCCAAGAGAACAAAGTACCAAGGACTACAGCAAAGACAAAACAAGGGCAAATTCAGAATATTTATGAATGTCGCTTATGAAACTGCACCCATAATTACCTACATTGACCAAAGAACAGGAAAAATTCTATAGCCCCTTGAAATATCTTGAGCTAAAAAAAAAAAAAAAAAAGCAAAGCGGACTGCAATGTAGGAAGGCTGTAATGGGCTATATCCCGGTCGCTCATTAATGACACAACTCACTCAGTACCAGCGGTTTGAGTCCTGGAGAAGACACCCCTGCACACCGGGTTATAGAAGCTCCCGTGTGCATTTCTCCCATGGACTTCACATCCCTTAGTAATACAGCGAATCTCCTAAACTCAGCCTGGAAAGCCACCTACTATTTAGGCTACTTTGCCACTACCAATAGCCTGGGAGAAGGCGCTGCAGCTTCAGCCACAACAAACAGGACAGATGAAGTGTGAACATGGAGGAATTGCCAGGGGAAAACCAGGTTCAGGAACTGAACTACATGAGGCGGTTACTAGCAAAATGAAGACCACGGCAGGACGGGAGCTCAAAACTGCTTTTTCAGGGAGATTCCCACTGAAGGGGGCAGGCTGATTAGGAAGGTGTGCATCATTGTACAGAAAATAAGTTACCTTGAGCTGATAGTTCAAGTGGAGACTCAAAGGCAACCCTATAAGGATTCATTAAGTTTTTCAGATTCTGAAATAGCTGAAACGAAAACATATCAAGAGTTAGCAGCTGAAAACAAAGATGAACTCCAGGGGCCCCCAGAATTGCCCATCCTTCTTCCCTACCTCTAGAAAACCTTCCACTCATGTCCTTTAAAACATCTAGCTCACCAGTAAATAAATAGTTTCAAATGACTGTTCTCCTCAAAGGCTTCAATGTTTGTCCTGCACGTCACTTATCATTCCTACCCCGGGGAAGGCACAACCCATAGGGTGGTTCGCCCATTCACAGCCACTCATGGGACAGGATGGCAGCATGTTCCCACACAGCAGAAGAGGAAGGTTTAGATTTCACAGTGTGACTGTTGCCTCCCTGGGCTTGGGGGTATTCCGTACACATTCCCTGAGAGGCGACCCAGGAAGCTCTTACCTTCTCCCCATTGGGGTTTCCAAGAACATAGCAGCCCATGATGTGAATGATATTTGGTTCAGGATTGACTTTACTCATCAGCCGACTCAACCTCTTCCAGAAGCTGAAAAAAATAGATTTTTTTTTTTGGTTAAATTATGTATTCTGTTTTTTCCTATCCCCTCGTATGCATAAATAATCACAGGGATGTGTGTGCGCACGCTGCTCAGAAGGACCTGAGGCTTGTAGCCTAAGGAGCAAACTAGCTGCTCAGAAGAGCCACTGGTCCTCAGACAAGGAAGAGCAGGGGCACAGCAAGGGCCTGGGGACCAGATCCGAGTCACATGGTAGAGAAGGAGAAGCAGTGCATTGAGCCAAGGAAGCTCCAGGGTGAAGAGAAGGGAGCAAAGTCCACCAGGAGTGCTTTTAGACTGGCAGTTTTACTAAGCACTCTCTTCTTGTAGCAGTTCCCTCCAATTTCCTCTCTCCCATTTCTAGCAACAATTGCCCTTTCTAAATTTGACTGTTACGCACTAGTTCATTTCCAGGGCATGAAATCAGCAGAGAAGAGCTGGAGAGGTCGTTCTTCTACATAGCTAGAGAGACACCACCAATGCAGGCTGCTCCATGCTAGCCAGTGCTTGCTGCTGCTCACCCATCAGACCTGCTTTACATTTTGTGACTACTGACCCCACACACTGCACCTAACGGACATGAAATACAACCACCTCCCTTGCGCAGCGGCTGAGAGTTGACTTCTGGTGGGCTCTAAAGCCCAGCAGATCCTCTGTGGGGTCTGCGATCAGACTGCAGCCTAAGCTTTTCTCAGGACTGTCTCCCAGGCGCGTACAGGTTGGATGGAGACAGTCACTTCCAAGCATCCAAGTTTTCAGCTGTGTGTTCACAGCTTTCTGAAGGTCCCCAAATTACCAACTTGGGACCAGCTATGCCTGGAATGTGTTCAGAAGCGTGTATGCACACACGTGCTGAAGAATTTTATTGACATTGTTTGTGCCAGAGCATGAGAGCGCTGAACAGATGCTGAGTTTAATACTCAGTTCTCGTGCCAACAAAAAGTTGTGTAGGAGCAGGCTGGTATACATCCTCTCCCCCACAACGAAGCACTGTTAGCCAAGTAACAAGCGAGCAGGCAGCAAAACAGGCAAAGCTTAACTCTCTGCAAGGAGAAGCAAAATTGCCACAGCAAGCCTGGCTGACAGGCTGGCATGTTAGCGAAAACCCTCCTCACTAACGTGCTGAACTTTGAGCAGGCTTTGCAGAGACAAATTCCATTTCCCCCTGCAATTAGGAGGGCAGTTACCGGTCTGACAGCTGTGGGGGGAATGGTTTGGATTTCTGCCACTAGTTGCCTGCTTAGAAACGCGACCTCAGCCACTTCAGAGCAACAGAGGCACAAGGTGCACATTCTGGTTGCGGGTCAGCAAAGCCTTTGTTGGGAGAATAAATATTTTTTTTTTTTTTTTTACTTCCTCTTTTGATAGTCTCCAGTCGAGAGACACACTGAACAGCAGATAAAGCATAAATCTGGTGATCCATCCCAGGGCTCCAGCACCCCAGGGACAAGCACGGCTCTGTCATCTTTGCATCTCCCCCCAAAAGAGCTGTAAGCTGCCACTCCATCCCCCCTCAGCCTCCTCTTCCCCTGACCATGCCAACCCTGCTTCCTCCACCTCTCCTTCCAGGCCATGCGCTACAAACACGGAGCAAACTGAGCAGGAAAATGCAATGCAAGTCCAGAACATAACACAGCCACTCACAGGATCATATCTTCCTCCTTCTCCACTTTGGCGAAAGTGGCAACTTTGTTCTTTAACAAGTATAAGTGACCGGGACCTCCCTGCAAGAGAGACACAGACAGATGCAAACCGCTTTGCACAGGCCCTGAAGAACCAAACCCTGGATAGGTTTCTTGTGCTGCACATCCGTACCCAGCAGGGCCACCAGGGAGCAGAGCAGACACGCCAGGCTGGCACCACTGCTACAGCTTCCATCGCAGACACCGCAGGCACTTGCCCAGAAAATATTTACATATGGGGAGTGTGCTGGGGGTTGGATTCCCCCTGTTATATGCCCACCTCGCTCTAGAAAGGCGGTCAATAACAGACAAAAATCTTTATTGTGGGTGACTCCAGAGCAATGGGGAAGACAAGAAAGTCCCTTTCATTTGGGGATGCTTGGGGACTTGCCATCATAGGCAGATGAGAAGCTGAGCAAAGCAGGGATAAGGAAGCAAGACATCACTGTAAAAGAACTGGGCTTTGGCTACTAGTAGGAGGCATAAAAAGACTGAGCACAACATCAGGAAAACTAAGAGTGGTAATCTCCGGGTCAGTGTGCTGCACACCCTGCTATTTTGCAGCATCAGGCATGTGGGAGGGAGTTCACATTAGGTTATCTTCCTAACTTCTCATTTCAAGGTTCCTCGCACAGCTGCCAGGGAAGTCCGAAGCTGACCACCCTGAGGAACAGGAGACTTGGGAAGGAAACCCCCAGCGAGCCCCAGATCCAGCAGGGCCTGAACCTGTCCCACCCACAGCTCGGCAAGCCCTGATCCCTCTGCAGCTCTGAGCTGTGCCATCTGCCGGTCTGATCCACAACAGCCACCACTGTCACTGTCATACTGAAGCTGTATGAAAGCTATAACCACCACATTGCAAATGCTTGTTCCTTTCTCTGAAATCTGCCTTTTGAGGTCTGCGCTAACGCTGGTTTGCCTGGTTTTCCTTGAAAGCTGCTAAGAAGCAGCCCAGCTCTGGAGTCGGCCACACTAAACCAGATTTTATTTCCTGCTGTCACAGCAACTTGAGACTGCTCAGTGTCTGGGGAAATGAGAAGTGAAAGCTGTACATATGCAGTTACTTTAACAGAATCTGACTTTGGAGTATTGGTTCCTCTATGTAGTTTTCTCTGTAGAAAAAGACAAATTTGTAACAAACCACCCAAGCGCTAAGCAACTTTCACGTACCTGGCAAAATATCAGCATCTTCCAGATTTTGCAGCCTTTCCGATAAATGTTAAGCTTCTTCTCTATTTCCTCTGCAAAAAACAAGTTGGAAAAGATAAACCATGGAGGAAGCTAAAACTTAACCTCATTTCATCCTGAAGGCAGGAGGCTGAGCTGCAAGAGGTGCTCAGCTCTTATATTCCCACTGATGTCAAAGCAAACCCTTTGGGTTTGTGCTGTGGAAAGCGGGGAACCCCAGCTCATCACAGGGCAGAGACGGTACGGTGCAGCACCAGACACTGCTCTGTAGTGCCCACAGCACCGTACCTGTACCAGACCCCGCTGTCCTGACCCTCTGCTAACGCTCCTACTCACCTACATGAGGACAATGAACAGGTATCTTTGCTGCCCTGTACCTCGGCTTCCCTTTCATAAAGAGGAAACGGGCCACAGAAGTGCAGTTTTGTTACTGCAGCATATCCAACAGCAGCTGCAGTTGGATGACTGGACGTCACTTGGACAGACACCTGACTGTCAGGTGTCACTGAGGTGATAAAAACACCTTTATGAGTGGCAGCACAGGCAAAGGGCAATGGAGTGACTAACATATTGATCAGTTACATTTGCAATGGGTAGGACTTAAGAAAAGGAAATAATGCTCACATACCTAGGATGTCATCAAAGGTGGCATGCTCATGGTCCTGGAAATCAAAAGAGAAGACATATCAAGGTTCACTCTCCCTACACCAGCTCCCATGATGTTATAGTCTCCATGTGCAGCAGGCAGTGCTGGAGTTTTCTGGGCTGTCAGTCCCACCCTTCCCTTTCAAATTAAGTTAATATAAAGTGATTAGGAAAAAGAGACCCATGACTCCTTACTGGTGTTTCACGCACCTGCTCAGGCAGGACTCCCAGCGAAAAACCAAGGTTAAATTAATGACAGACAGGAATGCACCACTGTACATAGGGTGATGGGGTTCACAGTCCACCACAGAGCTCTGAGGTCCTCCTGCTCATCCTGTCTGAGGATGAGGGTAAGGAGGAGCCCTAAGCCTGGCCACACACAGCTCTGCTTGTGTGCTCAGGCCTGCGCTGCCATCCCTTGTTAATATTCCCGTGCTGCCTGGCTGTGCCTGCATAGTCTGGTAGCCCACACGTGCAATTTTCACTCCACCTTACTCTTCCACCTAGGTCTGAGCCCCAAAGCTACCCCAGACCGCAAATCTGGGTTCAGCACACCCCCAGCTTTTCCAAATCACATCAGGGTTTCAGACTCACCATAACAGGAACTAGGGATAGGGACAAAAAAGAAAAAAAAAAATCACTGTATGAAGCCTGCTCCCACACATCCAGACACAGCAGAAGTGACATACTTACGTAGAGAATGGGGATGATAGAGGGATCGTCCCTGCGGATGATTGTCGGGACATACTCTGCTTTGGGCACCTTGGAAGAAATGAGCTGGAAGGGGGAAAAAGAAGCACAACAGCATGAGGAGAAGCCAGTAGTCTCGACAGAAGCACAAAGGCCATGATAACAGTGCCCTACTCAGCTGCTCTCAGGTGTTACCCAAACTAGCAGCCTATCTGCATCCCTGTGGAAGGTCCTCCAAGCCTTTGGTCCACTACAGAGCCCCCCCAGGCCTGCCAAGTACCCCCCATGTGTCACGGTCTCCTCGGCCTCCAACAAATGAGCACACAGCTCTGCCCAAAAGGCAGGACTGAGTCTGAGGAAACAGTGTAAAGGGCAGACCGGTGCACACAGAGGACAAAGAAGCTTGTGGGTCACCATGAATGGCTGTATCCCAGTAAAGACCACTTCCGTACAGCCTTCCTCTGTGCGAGGGTCTGTGCTTCTGCCTGTAGGGGACTGTTCAAACCAGCACACTCAGCTGGCCGGTGGTGGGACAGCTGCCTGCCTGAACAGGAACCAAGTGAGGGATGGAACGGCATCAGGCATAGGCAGGCGCACAGCCGTGGGAGGTCGGGCAGATGCAGGCTGCCTGGCAACTCTGGCTGAAGCTTCAGCTGGTTCCATCAGCACGAGAGCCCGAGACGATGGGGCTGCCATCTGCACAAGCCAAAGGGCTATGGGAACAAAGGCAATTTGGCTGTGCAGTGATTTCAGGCACCTCTGTTCATCGCTGTGAGTGGAGCAGGCAGCCTGGGTTCCAGATTGGGGTCCCAGTCACATGCAGGCTGCCTGGCAACTCTGGCTGAAGCTTCAGCTGGTTCCATCAGCACGAGAGCCCGAGACGATGGGGCTGCCATCTGCACAAGCCAAAGGGCTATGGGAACAAAGGCAATTTGGCTGTGCAGTGATTTCAGGCACCTCTGTTCATCGCTGTGAGTGGAGCAGGCAGCCTGGGTTCCAGATTGGGGTCCCAGTCACTCCTTTGGCCACATGGGAGTTAATGTAAAGTTGTACCTGAAGAGGCACAATGCACAGAGTCTGGGGTGGACACCCCTCACACACACCATCTGGGGAGACACACTGGAGGGACCAAGGGCTCAGCAAACCCAAGGGTGGGTTCCTAGTGTTTGGGTTTCACCTGGCCACTTTGTCCTGAGAGGGCCGCAGGGCTGAGACTGCACAGCCAGCCTGGGAACACACATAAAAGCAGATGGTCTCCATGTCCTTCACTCTTCCCAAGTCTTAGCAGGACCCATTCAAACACAGTACTGCTGTGCTGGCCTGGCAACGCTGCCCTAAGAAGCTTGAGACCCCATTTTGCCTGAGTACTTGTGTCTGTGGCCAAAGAAGGGATGTGTCAGAACCTGGTCCTGTCTGCCAAACCCCCCAGAGCAGAGCAGGAGGCAGCACAGGGGGCAGCCTAGCACCAAGGAAAGATAAAAGAGCAGAAAGCATCTCCAGGGATAAAATACGGTTCCAAAGCAAATCAGGCAAGTAACAACAGGAGGACGGGACTGCTGGGCCTGGGGACTCAGGTCTCTTGTCAGGGTTATCGAGACTCAGGCTAACTCGATTCAGGGTTGGTGACAGTCCTGCTCTGATGTGGGGTTGGACGACAGGTCCTTCCACTTCTAGTTTTCTTTCAACGTATTATCCCCAGCAATAACAGATGCTGAATACTATGTCACATCTTGGCTGATCTCCAAGTGACCCTCATACACACCTGAAGAGTTGCCTATACAAAAGGCTTGCCTCTTCCCATGAGGATCGTAAACTCAGCAGCTCTGAAAGGACAGACAGAGCCTGAACAGATACAGGTAGCTGAGGTGGAAACCCTGTCCTGGTTTGAGTGACGCAGGACTAATTTCTTTTCTAATACCTGGGAAAACTACACTTTTAGAAGACTCTAGTGTCTGAATTGGTGAAAATATTTACTTTATAGCCAGCTATGGTGTGGGGGTTTCAAGGTCTCAGCATTTTCAAGCTTGCCCCACGCATGGGAATGAGGAAGAACGAGACCCAGGCACTTGATCCAAGCTGCCAACAGGGTTATTTCATACCATGAATGGCACATTCAATACAAATTAGTAAGTTTGCTGAAAAGTACTCTCTCTCCCTTGATGGCTGTGATCCAGAGAACTCCTCGCCCCAGTGCCGGACGCCTGAGGTCTTCCTTCCCTCCCAAAGCCATAGCCCTCGCAGTGTCCCACATTTGCTGTCCCTGCTGGAAGTGCACAGCTTCTACTGATAAAATTGGCAGAGTATAGTCCTTGTATATTTTATATCAGTATTGGGATCAATATTGGTTCTTTAGTGTTATTAATGTTAATTATCTAGTCTTATTCTATTACATCTGTCTATATTTCAACCCCCGGGTTTCCTTGTTTCTTCCCAATTCCCCTTCTCAGGTGGGGAGGGGTCATCAGGTGAGAGAATAATTGTCTAAACGACAATAAACTGTTGTGGGTTTTCTCAAATCATGACAAACTCTCACCATTATTTTTGGTGGAATAAAGTCTTCTCCGTCACATGCCATGGCTTCGAGTTCCTTTTCTGCTTCCCAGTTCAAGTCAAAGTTGCCATCCAAAGTGCCGCAGGAATCCTGAAGGTCATGGCCTGCCAGAACAGTGTGCATTACATGGGCAGAACAGTTTGCCTTCCCCACTCGATCCTGTCCGGCAGCTACCTCGCAACACGTACTGCAAGCCGTGAGACTTGTGCCCCCCTTTCTTCTACAGAGCGACAGACACCACACTTTGGGGCTGGCGTCTCCAACCAGACAAACACTTAACGAATGAAGAGTGCACACACAGAGCCCGACACCACACATCACACAACTTTTCATCACTCTCACAGTCACCAAGTTTAGCTTTCAAGTGGTAATTCACAACAGTCACCCTGTCATTTCAGAAATGGAGAAGGAGAGACAAAATGCAGACAGACTCTCTACACTTTAACGTTGCCAAGCTGATGAGCAAAAGTCCAGAGACTTCAAAGCTGGTCTCCTTGTAACAATTACTGCTCTGACTGTCTTCTGAGTGATTATAAAGAAACTCTGCCTTGTTGGTCAAACTGATCCTGGCAGAGAAGTCCCAGAGCGTGACGACATCTGTAGCAAACACAGTAGTATTGCAACAGTATACTTGAATTTGCTCTCCAAACTGACCTTACCTGTGGGCCTTCAATGCCTCCTGGGGAAAAAAAACATCTGGAAGGAATATAATTGACCATTAAAGGTTAAAAATAGAGATGGTTTCCTGAAGCCACAGACCGAGGAAAGAGAACTGAGATGCCTCTATTTGTGCCTTTTGGGACGTCCGAGTGTCACTGGGCAGTGCCTGGAGCCTGCCTGAACCATGCCTTTTCCATTTGCCTCCGAGTTAGCTGAGGGAGCGGGGAGGAATCAGACTGCAAAGGAACAATCGGGTCATGTTTTGAACCTGGCCTTTCATACATCTCCCCCTACAACCTGGTACGGTGTCTTCTACAGCAAGGAGAGCTGGATCTCCTGCTTACCTGGTAGGTCAGTGCCTTTCAATAATGACATTCGTTTACAGTACAACTCATTTCAACATGGGCAAACTCATAACCACCAAGTCCCTTGCCTACAGGACTTCCATAAAATCTGGGTAAACCAGCCGTTCCCTTCATAAAAAGACAGTGGGAAGATGCTGGCATTTCCCCCTGTAAATTAACACAACAGCATCTCAGTCCCCACAAGCAGAACATCACAGCATTCCTAGGGATTCCCAGAGGAATTCCTGGCAGCCCAAACGAAGATCAGATTGCCCAAAGCTATCATCTGCATAGCCAGCACGGCCAGGAAGTCAAACTACATCTCACAGAGCGCTGCAGCTGTGCTCTAGCCTAGAAAAGTGCTCAGAAGGGGCTCTTGCATGGGAAGCCAGGCAGGGTAGCCCCACTATGGTGAATGTAGCCTTGGACTGGTGTGCTTCCAGGTAGGTTGTTTTGGTCCCAAGCGAATACGGGATGATGGGAACAGAGGGCTGTAAGAGAGCTTGTACCACTGGGTATCCTTTGGCAACTGCACAGTAACATGAGGTTAGATGCATTGTGCTGTACAAATAAATATAGGTACACACGGGTGAACAGGTGCATACACCTGGAGTGTTATTTGCTCAGATCTCATGAAACTAAAAGGATGACAGATAGGACAACAGGGCACAGAGGAATTACTCCAGTGGGACTCCAGTCAACACCTCAGCTGGAGGGTTTGGCCACAGGAGGAAGCTCAAAGGACTCAGAACTCACTTTCTCGAGAGTCATGGAAGGAATCAGCTTTGATGGGAGTCGGGTCACTCCAGGACCTGCTGAAGCTCCTCTCACGCCGTTCGGCAAATGCTAGGATAAAACCAAAGCATGACATTAACAGACTCCAAAGCCACCTCCGTTGCTGCCAGCAAAACAAAACATCCAGTAGTTTTCCACCAAAGCCACACATCACAGACTCCCCTGTGCTCGTTCTTCCATTGCCAAACGTGAGTCCTTTCCACACAGCAAACAAGGGTCTATCTTCTAGACAGCAGAGGACAAATGCCCACTTTCTAAGCAGGACCATTACGGGGTATGTAACACAGAAAAAGGAGGACATCTGATGGTCTTTCCTTAAATGCACACGGCTCAAACCTCAATTTAATCAAGGCTATTCCAGTGTCCCAGTGTAAATGCTCCGACTCAAAGGCCTCACAGGAAGATGTACTCAACAGCTAATGACACATACATGACCAGAAGAAGGCAGTAGTTCTCCAGTCAGTTCTCCCTTCATGTTCTAGTGACACCCTAATCAGAACTGGACCAAACAGAGGGAGGGTCTCTAGAAAGCTCGTGCTTTCTAAATTTTGTTGCAAAAGAGGAAATCCTTCAGTTTTTGCTTGCCTGCACTCTTGTGAGCACTCCCCCTTGGCTTTTTTCTTTTTTTTTTTCTCCCCCCAAACGGCATTATATTGTTTGTACCGGCATTTCCTAAGCGGAATCCCGGGAGCTTGGCCCATCTGGCTGCACCGCAGGCAAATTCCTCTGAACTGCCAACCACTACGTCTGGCTTGGCAAGCCCATGTGAGAGCCCTTACACCTGGATTAACAGCCACTTATAGCCACTAATACCTATTTCTGGTAGCAGACAGAGCAAGTTTGCTGCAGTGTATCTAGTAACAGCATCTCATGTCAGCAGCACAGGAATTCACTGCAGATCGCATTACAAGAGCCGAGAAGCAACCTGTCCTCTGCTGCAGTGTGTCCAAGCGTGGATGTCCAGGGAGACAAATCACATAGGAAGTTCTTCAGGTGATCTCCATCCTCAGCTTTCATTTAAAACCAGCATTTAGCTATTGTGCACGTGAAGAAAGCTTTGAAAACATGACCCGAGAGTTACCAAGGCAGAGAAGCATGCCTGAACTTCCAGACAGCTCTAGGCGGAGGTGAGCCCTGTTCATTTCAGGCAGTGCTAACTCAGATGCCAATAAAGACACTTTAAAGGGCAATGCTGTTTGCTGTTGAGTTCCCACAGCATATGAGAAAGGAGAGGAAGGAATGCAAATTCAACTCAGCAACGCTTTGCTGTGGGCAGTCTGTACATGATGCCTGGCCAGGGGATGGGAAGAACAAGTTATTTCCTCTTCTGGAGCAATCCTCAGGTCTCGGGAACCAGTCACACCATTCTCAGCCCATTTCACAGCACTAAGGGAGCTGCCCCAACCAAGTTATGGAGGAGTGTCCTCTTCCTCAGGGAAAGGGAACTGCTGTTTCCCAGATGTAAGAGGTGATTTCTTCCTCAGTGAGACATAACACTCCCCTCTTTTCCTCTTGCTCCAATCTCTTCCCTGTTCCTCTTCTTTCACTCTTCCACTGTCCTCTCAGCTCCCACCAGTCAACCTGTCCCCCGGCCCTGCTGCAGAGATGGCGGTAGAACAGGGGAGGAGAAAAGAGAAAGCCACCAGTCCGCACATGAAGCGCCGACTGTCCCCAGGGAGCCACAGCTGGTCCACAGCTTCAGTAAGACGCCAGGCAGCCCTCACCAGCTCTGCAGAACTCTCAGCTCTGGTTCTCCTCAGAAGAGTCTATGCCCATGATCACCAAAAACTACACGCACATGGGACAAGGATGCTGCACCTCTCCTTCCAGTCCTCACACTGAGGCTGCAGAGATCTCCCACAGCCGAGGCACTGGGTCCTCAGAAATAGCTTAAATGCCGTTTGCAGACGTCCATGTGTCCTGGAGGCTTACAACAACCTCGCCTTCTTTTTTGTAGGGTAAAATGGCATCAGCAGGTCAAAACCTTTTCCAGCCCAATGCTAGGTCCTTTCTACCCGCATTTGCACACAACATAGGGTTCCCCATGTCCCACTGGCACAAACTCCAACTCCTCACAGCCACATCTTACAGGTGCTCACTTACTTTGTGCTTTAACCCTTCGGCTCCCCACCATGCGGAGGTGCTTCCGAAAATTCCTGAAAGAAAGGCCAAACACAACCTCTGAGAAAGGTAATACAAAGCGATATCTGGGCCCAGCAGGGCCGAAAAAACTGGGAGGAAAAAAATACAATTGGGAAGACAGCGTATTTCCTTCCGGGCACTCAAAAGCTGGAGACCAGGTTCCCAGCCTGCACCTATTCAGTGCTGGGGACCGTTATGTTTGTCAAGAACGTGGCTGGTTCTTCCAAACTCCCTGGGCTGGTGGTACAGGGCAAGTGAGGTCCTACACGGCAGTCCCCTTCTCACAGCCTGCTTTCACTTTCCTATGACTAAGGCACCTGTGCTGTAACTTTGCTGGAGACACTGCCACTGCCCATGCTGGCAATGCTCCCTCTTCTTCTGGTAAGCAGCAATATCTGCTCCCCTCTCTCCTTTCTTCCACACACACTTCATCAGGGAAGTGGGGTGTCCAGGCTCTGCCCTGCCAGGCAGCATGCACACACCATGCTCATGGCTGTGCTCATTCCCAAACACATTCACAGCAGCTTCCAAAATCCCACCCGTGCTGTTAGCGACCATGCAGCCCGTACTGCTCTCCAGAGCAAAGAGCTGGGAAAGACTGAAGCAGCTTCTTTCTTCTCGGCTAGCACGGGTCAGCAAAGCTGACTGTCCTCGTGGGCCTGCCTAACCACATGCTTCCCTGCCCAGGACTCCCAGGCAAAGTTCAGCGGGGCTGCAGAGTACACAGCTCCAGAGGAAAGTCCAACAGTAGGTAAACCTTGGGGAGCAGCTACCCCTGACAGGTCTGTGTAAAACAGCCTGTCCTGGCCACTCCTGAGAGACCATCGTCCAGCCCCTTCGAGTGCGAGGGACACACCTCCCGTAGTTTCTCATCACTCACCTAGACAGGAACCAAACAGCACAGGAACCGAACAGGACACCAGAGGAGACACAGGGAAGAAGCAGCAGGTGGACTAGCAGGAAAAGTGTCACTCCTCTGTGAACTCTACTTTGGGTGACTTCACCCTGCAGTGCAGCCACCATGGCCCCCAGGGATGTCAGTGAGCCCGTGTACCAGCAGCCTGCATGGAGTCGGGGAGCCTTCCTAGATTCCCTCCCTCCCCACCAACATACACCACAGACATCAAGCAACAGAGACCGCTGCTGGTGAAAGAGGTAAAATGACAAATCATCTGGCTCACATACAAGTTAGTGGGATGAGTAAGGACGTTACAACCATGCAGATGCTTTAGCAAGTTAACTGGATGAGAAGACACCTCCAGCACCGACATAAAGTTCTTCAGAGCTAGTCAGGTATGTCGATTCCAATACAGAGAGATCAACGCAAGCATGGCCCCTGAGGGAGGGAGAGCACTTAACCCACACCACATTCTGCACGGTCCCCTCTTTGGCCTCCATGCCGTCATTAGGATCCAAATTCAGCAACGCAAGAAGGAAAACTAGCAGCTGGGTAGTGGAGCTGGGAGCAACATTATTCCATGACAAATTTCCATCTGCACTTGGGCTATTAATGTTCTTTTACAGAGCTTTATTTTAGCTCTACTTGGGTACGTGAAGATTCACTGCTGTGGAGCAGACAACTGCCCCCCTTAGACAAGTAACTAAGATGATTCGCTTCACTAACGCACGCTGGACTGGCTCTATGTACAAAGCCTTCTGGGGTGTGTGATAACTGATAATGTGGGCTGTCTTACCGTGCATTAGATTCAAATCCATACAAACACAGTATTTTAAGGGAACCAGGGTCATTCTTTACACAAAAAGGTCTTAGACATATGCTGTAACTCATCATAATGAAAATCTTTATGGTCCATTGTGAGACCAAAACTAGACACTGAGAAATGTTAATTGCCAAGGCCACTGTTACCTCCTTTGGGCTTTTGGTATTTGGGAATAAAATCTATTTTTCTGTACATGCTCAGTTGTCCTTTCCACAGAGGAGTTTCCTCAGCCCCTGGGGGGAAGGGGAGTAACGCATTCTTTGCCATAGAAGAGTGATGCTCCCAGCTGCCTAGACAGCTTGGACTCTCCCATGAGTGCAGGTTTAGGGCAGCTGTCTAGATGAATCTTCTAAATACCGCTGAGAGCAGCCCCAGGGAGAATCCAGCTGCTCAAGGTTAACCACTGCACTAAATGCTCAGAGAATGGGACAAAGGCCTTTTTGCCCCCTCAGCTCTTCTAGTAATAACGCACTTTGGAAAGGAGGTGCAAGCCTGGGACTGCCTCTTCATTGTGGGCATCCTGTGGCCATCTAAATCCTTCTGAGGGCTTTTTGCGGCCGTATTGGTCCTCAGGCCCCTCTGTGCTTGCATGTTAGCACTGAAGGACTGGCACAGCACCCCTGGGGGAGCCGCAATCTGCTCTGAGCAGTGGGGCTACATAAACCTGCCCAGTCTTCCTGCCGGGCTCCTGCAATTGCACCCAGAAAATGCAGTGTTCCTTGATCACTAGCAAGATCTCTTCACCCATCAAAAGTCAACGAGCATCCCTCAAGTTACAAAAAGTCTCCTTAGTACTCCCTTTCCTGAACAGTCCTTCTCCTGACAGGCTCCAGCTCGCCACGCGGTCCACACAATCCTATGCCACCTCCACGGTATCCATCCCAGCCAAAGGGTCTCCAAGACACAGCAACTCTCTACACAATGCAGAGAAGCTTTTTTACTACCCAAACAGAGGTCAATGACAGAATCACTGACATATCAATACTCTGCAAAACTCCCAACACCACTACTCACATTCTCCTCCCCAGGTCCTCCGTGCACCAGTCACAAGGTTCAGCAAACCACTGGGCATCACTTACTCTTGAGGCAACATCCATTGCACCAGCAAACCAGCCTCTCTGTGCACCAGAGACGCAGGGCCAAGCACCGAAGGGGCTGTGTGATAACAACTTTGCTTCTGAAACACCTGAGGCCATGAAGGGCTGCCCAGGCAGCATCCAAAACTGTGGTGGGGTTGGGGTCATCCTCACTCCCTGCAGAAGAGAGCTGAACACTGTCAGCAATCCTTACAGCTGACCACGGTCTGCTTGCATGGCGCAGCCAAAACCCCACACTGACAAAAGCCCATCATTGCTATCCTATCTCCTCTTTATCACAAGATAAATGCAGATGGGGTCCCACTGTACACTCCTGCCTAGACCTTCAGTGTCCACAGGAGATGAGGGGACATGCTGGCTGCTCAACACACGGATGACGTGACTCCGTCCTCTACCCTGACTACTCAGCACCACTGAGGTATACAACTCCTACTCCTGTATTTGTAAGCCATGTGAACAAGCCATTTTCTAACGTTTCTGTCTAAAAAATTCTGAGAAACCTCTTTCTTTTTAAAGATACACTGTCTATTTATTTACAGCATCTTCAGTTTTGATTCTTATTTCTCTTCATTATTGATGAAAAACACACCACCCTTAAAGTTGCTAAAAAAAAATAAATATCTTCTTGGCAATTTCCCAGTTAAGAAAACCTGATGTTTTTCTCCCACTTTGTTTTTAACAGCGCTGAAGCAATCATGGCAGTTTTTAACCAATGACACAAATGCTGTGTTATCCTTCTTAGTAGGCTGCCAAAATACACGAGCCTTGGCATATTTAAAGAACCAGAACAGTTCTGATTACCACAGTGGCTAAATGACGTGCCCTGTGAAGCCAGCAGAGGGAAACCAGAGCCCTTCTGCAATACCTGGACAAGGAATCAGTCCCCTTTCCATTTTCTTTCTTTTCTATTTTTTTTAAACGAAGATTTTTAAAAAATAGACTTCTGGTCACTAGAGATACTCATTTTGCTTAGGTCTCAGATTTCTGAGGTGCATCTGTAGATGCAGCAGCAGCATATAAAAGTTAATGGTGAGATATTCAGCTAACCTCAAACAAATTCCAAATATGTGGGAGAGGTCTGGGGAAATTGCATCTTTTATTTTTTTTATATATACATATATATCTTTGAGACACAGATCCTGTATATTTTATTTGGAAGCTTAAGAGAAACTTGACAGTGTTCCTTTAAGAAGAGGGAGATCAGCTATCTTGAGCACTGCAGCATCATTCACCTCCACATTTCCAACACAGCCACCGCTAGTGTCCCTACGAACAGCAACACAGACAGGGACAACCACGTTCAACGGCATCAAGCGTCACTAATGACACCCGAAGGGCCCATGCAACACCAGGCAAGGTTAGGGCTATGGGAGAAAACGGGCCCTACCTCTGTATAACAGCTGCCGAATCATTCTCTCGTTTCCGTCTCTTCCTCTCTGCGTAGCCCCTGAACGCCCTGGGAAACCATTTTAAGCCATTAACCAACTACACAGCTTTGAACTGCAGAGGACACGAAACACAGACAGGAAAGCTCTCACCAGACAACAGAGAGAGATCGGGCTGCCCGAGGAAGACAGCCAACCCTTGCCGGACTGTGTGCAAGTCAGGGGGTGGGCAAAAGACTCACCAGACCAAGGGTCCTCACTCTCTAGGGCAGGTGGCTGGACAAGCGGTTGTTCCTAAGGCAAATGTAAGCGTGGCCAGATCATGGCCCAAATGGGGGCAAGCAGCCATCATCCCTGCTACGGAGGAATGGACCTAGGAGACTGCAAACACAAAACCTCTGTACACCAGGATCAAGAGGGACAAAAGCATGCTAGCAACTGTAGTCTGCATTTCCAAGATGAGGATGATTGCAGTGTGATCCACGTAGGTCTACCAGGTGTAGCCACCTAACCTCTTGCCAGCTGACAAACAGCCCTAGCATATGGAAAGCGTGAGTGAATATGATGGACAGGAGAGGAGAGGAGAGTTTATCCAGGACACCAACAGACAAGGAAAATAAATAAATAAATAAAAAGATTATACTTACGAGATCCTAGAGATTCCAGGAGACGCAAGGAAAGAGAAAGAGAAGAGGGATTCATTAGTGCTCAGCCCTGGCCAGAGTTCTGAGGGAATTCTCACTCCAGAAGGAATATTTCTTGTTAGGTAGAAGGAAATTGCTTTTTAAATTAAACATTTCTCAGTGGTGAGACTCTTGTTTGACCGAGCTAAATCCTCCCCGGGGCAGTGCTGGCATGTGGCTTGGATGCAAATTAAGCTCCACGTAGACCCAGAAAACATGCAGATGTACAACCGACAGCCGAATGTGGCCCATCGGGCTATGACAGGAGCTCAGCCTCATGGGCTTCTGGAGCAGGGAGACCTTCTCCCACAGTGACAAGGACTTGCAAAGTCAGCTCATGCTGTCTCATCTATGACGGAAGCAAGCACAGTGGGCTGAAAACACTAGAGAAGAGGCCAGGAAGACAGAGGCACCTGCAGGAGCCATTCCAACCAGCTTCGGGAGGTGCCCTGAACTTTTGAAGGTGTTTCTGTGCCACTTCTAGAGGCAGCACAGAATCTCTAGAAACATTAACCGAGGAGCTACGTTAACCAAGGGAGCTGTGCTCCTCAAGGGTTTCCTTAGGCCACCATTCCCCAAACCAACCTCACTTCGGCCTCCAACCACTCCAAGCCTTGTAAACCCTGCCATGGGCCACCACCCTGCAACAAACCTTGTGCACAGCAAAGATGACTTCCAATAGCAAAGGTTGTGCCTGAAGGCAAAGGAAATGTGCTGATTTTGTGCATGGCTTGGTGTGTCAGATCAGAACGGTAAAATAGCATCCACTGTTACCAGCCAACATTTCTAAAGAGCAAAGCATCTGTCAAATTGCCCTCAGACTGCCCACAGGCGCTGCCAGCCTGGAGCCCAGGAGTGTTAACCAGCTGGGGTGCCACCGGACTTACAATCCCTGGATGGACAGAGGGACACAGAGGTCAGGTAAGAGAAGCAGCACTAGGACAATACAGAGAGAGCAGAAGCTCACAGAGGCTCCTCGCCACCTCTGTTAGGGTGGGATTAGCACCCCACCACCACGCACCAGGTTCTACAGAGCGGCACCAGGCAAATGCCTGCCCTGTGCTGCTCCCCATGCTGGGAGGGAAAGGGCATGAAGATACACATCTTTTTCTCTGGGGGATGCAGATCTCTTCTGATATTTCAGTAGCTACCCCTCTCCCCAATACCCAATGCTCTTCCTGCATCAGTCCTTACAGCTCTGACCCAGTCTGGGTTATCCCAGCATCAACAATCAGCCTCTTTAGGGGATTTGGGAAGGGAAAGGTACAAGGGAAAGAAGAAACGGCAGAGAAATAGAATACAAAAAGGAGACCTGATTAGACAAGGAGAAATAAAGAAAGCAGTAGAGCTGAAGGTGACACAGACATTAGAAGGACAGAGGGAAAAGGTGACAAGGCTGGAGAAGGGCCTTAGAAGGCAGAACAGTATCTCATTTCCCTCATTGCTTGCCTTGGCTTTCCAGCCAGGTAGGAAATACTTGAAACCAGAAGACGGTATTTCCTGACAAGCTAGGTACAACCTGGAAGTGAGGCTTCCCTTATTCCCTTCAGTCCTTGGAGAACTGCCTCTGCCCAACACACAGCAACCAGGGGCACCAAAACCTGCGGGGAATGCGGAGGGAGAGACTCTTCCTAACTCAGATCTGCTCACACTTTGCAGATATTTTACTGACACCTTCTTCAAATGATCAGACCAGCGCAGAAGCTGTAGGGCTCTACCTCATCCCATAGAGACACACTCCTCGGGAGCGATGGATGCAGGGCGAGCCTGGAATAACGTTCCCTCAGGGCAGCGGCCGCAGCAGAAGCAAGTGGTGGAGGGTCTCAGCTGGTGCTCCCCCAGGACCCTCACTCTGCCGAGGCACCCAGGAACAGTGCACAGTGTCACAGAAAAGAAGGGAAGCAGAGAAGAGCTGGGTAGGCCCAAGGAGTAAAAGAAGGTAAAACCAAACAAGTGGGAGTAGTAGGAAAGAGAACTAATAAGTGCAAAAAAGAAAATAAGAGACAAGGTTCTCTCTCTGTCTCACCCCACACTGTGGTGCCAAACATACAACTTGATTGCTCCAGGCTTTGAGTGAGCCACACACTTTAAGATACACAATAAAAGCTATAGCAGTAGTTTCACTTACGCTTGCATAGTTGTAGTAGCAGTTTGAAAACTGAAGAGGTTCTCTTTTGGGAACCAGGTTCGTATGGGGACATCGTCTGGAAGAGAGAGAGCAAAACCTGAGAATCCAGCGGGCAGAGACATCGTTCAGGCAGCACGATTCTCCAAGCTCTTTCTCTTTGTACTTTTCTTCAGCATCCTGCCCTGTACTACACAGGAGAGTCTCATCCTCCTCATATACATGCACACTACCACCAAGTATTTTGTAAATTTGTCCTAAGCCTGTCTATCAGGCGACTAAATGAACAATGAAAGCTCTATCCTCAGCATGGAAGATTAGAATAATCCAAGAATTACAGAACAGACATTTGAACAAGAAAAAAAAAAAAACATAGGAAAGAAACATTTTCACTAAAAGCATTTTCCAGCCTCTGCCTTTTCCTTAGTACCATTAGTTTGAAATGTCCCACTCATCCAGTTCTTTCTGATCTGCCTTTCTGGAAGACAAAAAGCATTCATCTTCCTCTCTTCACAACTGTAAGCCTGAGAGAGACTCTCTTTCTACGACTGAAGTTTCAATAAACCCCTCAAGATGTTTCAATAAATCCACGGGCTCCTGATGACCTGGCCTTCATGAGTTCCTCTGGTTTTAGAAGTCAAACAGCACATCAGCTGTACAATCCGCAAGTAACTCTGTGCTTATTTGGTCCCCCATACTTGTAAACTGCCCTGTGGATTATTTCCTAATTCCATTGCATTAGAGTCTTCACATAATGATCACTAGGACAAAAAGCAGGCAGCAAAGGAAGTCACTAATTATGTGTGGGGGATGGCGGTGACCACAAAGAGGAATCTAAACAAGAATCAGCTCCTACTGAGAACTCTCAGTCTGAAGTTGGTCAGGCAAGGGATCAGAGGTGTATAAAACCCAGTGGACTGGATCCCTGGGATTTGGGGCTACCTGATTTTTCATCTTGCTTCACTCCCTGTTTGTGGCTTCCTTGCTTAATGCCTTGCCACATGTTGCTGATCACGTGTCTTGCTTCACTCATTCAAGTTTTAAGATAATTAGCAACTACAGTATCTTAGTCATTAATATTCTGGCATTGTCAAGAGTATATTTTTTTTTTATTCACTTTCATTGGCCAAAACCCAATCAAAGCCTTCATGCCTACTGCAGACATAATTACTACAGACTAGATATCTTACCAAATGTTTCATACAGATCATCAGCTACTACAGACTGTTGTTCCCTGATAGTACAAAAAGTGGCTGCAATTACAGATGCAAAAAAAATGCTAAATGCAACTGGGGAGGCTTCCTTTGAAGTGAAGCTTCCAAGAAATCATATAGAAAGCTGTAACAGACACTCCTTCTCAGCTAACAGTTTATGTCAAGCCTTGTATAAAGGCACCCAAAGGAAATACATATGTTAAATGAAAACTGCATTGTAGTATGCTAACTACTTATTACAAAGTTCCTATGTCTGCTCTCCTCCAAAAAAACAGATAGAGAAGAAATGCAAAACAGCTCAGACTAAATGAATTACTTGTTTGAAGTCTCGAATCCACAAAAGTGGTGAAGGAGGAGAAGTTGTACAAAGTCCTTTTTAGCCAACAATTCTGTACAGGCTTCTCAGGGACTGTGCGTCTCAAAGGACTGGCAATCTCTTAATATATTTTACAGCTTTTTCAAAGCAGAGCTTATGAACAACAGCTAATATCCTTATGCGGCTTTGCCTGGACAGTCGTTGGAAGCCTCCCCTTCTTTTCTGATAGGCAATAGTCAACATAGGAAAGATATCACACTCCTACCTACAGCACTCAATGGAGAATAAAGGATTTGTGACCCTTCAGAGGCGCCTCTTTACCAGCCAGAGGCAGAACAGTACCAGAGGAGCACACAGCTGGGGACTGGGGACCACAGCTCAGCTCCAGAGCTCATCCAGCTCATTAAAATTCAGATTATGGGTATGGCTATTTTGCTTCCAGGAGCAGGTAGCATGCTCCTTTTTGGCCAGGCAGAGCATCTTGTTCTCCTTTCCTATTACCATCAATTGGGACAAAATAGTCAAGGAATCACAGGCTGGATAAGACTGGAGGAACACCACCACCACGTTGAGCATCTCCAGCCACTTGCCAGGCTGCATGCAGATGTCAGCCCCTCTGTCCATGAGTGGATGTGTTTGTATCAGACACTGGGAACAACACAGGAGATGATACTTAATGGGAGGATGCCAGGGGGATGGGAGCAGTCTTTTCTCAGTGGCGCCCAGTGATAGGACGAGGGGTAATGGGCATAAACTTGAACATAGGAAGTTCCATCTTAACATGAGAAGGAACTTCTTTACTTTGAGGGTAGTGGAGCACTGGCACAGGCTGCCCAGAGAGGTGGTGGAGTCTCCCACTCTGGAGACATTCCAAACCCGCCTGGACGCCGTCCTGTGCAACCTGCTGTAGGTGACCCTGCTCTGGCGGGGGTTTGGACTAGATGATCTCCAGAGGTCCCTTCTAACCCTAACCATTCTGTGACAGCTTGTGCTTCTCTGGAATGGTGTTAGGCATCATAAACTCAGCATAAAAATCCATATTAAATTATGTCAATCTGGCCTAACTGCCATGAGTGTTGGTTTGCAGCAATAATGTGTCATGTAAATCCAAACAGAATAAGCAGCACTGTAAAGTGAACCTCTGGGGAAACTAGTCTCTCTCTCTCTCTCGCCTCCATTCATCTCTGCTCTGTTTTCTCTGCTATCCATGCATGAAGGACATTCCAAGAAATACTTCTTGCAACTGGTGACAGTTGCGCTGTCACCTCTGTTCCCATTTAGGTAACTATTCAAATATATTTTCAGAAAGGCAAATCTCCATTTCACATTGACAACTGGCCCTAACAAAAATTGCTGCTTATAAATCCCAAGGCCCAGAAACAGAACATGCCATCTCTCTATATTTGCTAGCCAATTTTCTGGAAAAAAGAGACGTTTACCTCCAGCTATGAGGAGTTAAACTCCATTAGTGCCTTGGAGCTGTCCTGTGGTTCTGTACCAGGTAACCTGCTTCAGTCCCATGGTGAAGAATACAATTTTGACTTGTTCAGGAAAGCTTTCAACATAAACCCATCAGCATCAGAACAGGAAAACTTCGATTTCTTAATTCAGTACATATCATGAGGCCGCAACCAATGCAACTCAGCACCCTGATCTCCACAAGAGCAAGCCCCTGGGGTTGCGATCTCCTTTCCTGAAAGGCTTGGACTGAAATGGCTTTCTTTTTCTATCTTCACACAAGCTCTCTGGCTGTGTCGTCATGTGCAGAGCCATCTTTTAGCAGGTAAAACATGTATGATCATAAAACCGTAACAGGTTTCCATATAGGAAAGCTCTTCTCACTCCTTTTCTTGAACTTAAGCAATAAAAAGAAAAAGTCTAAACTTACACATGTAGTATCTGATGTGAAGCCTAAAAATCACAACTGAGAAATGATGCTCAAAACCTATGTACAGGAATTAGCGGGAACTGCAGGTATTCTGCACACTTGATAATCAATTACATGGACTAACACTAAAGAATAAGAACTAGAAAGTATTAAATTAATCACAGAATTTCAAGCATCTAGGCAAATATGGTCCAGAACCCAAGCTTTCTGTGATTTTAGCAGCAGTAAATTTCACTATGATATTTACAAGAAAACTATGAACCCAGGAAAAATGTACAGTTATCTCCACAGTCCTTATACTCAATTTATTTTCAAGGAGAAAACCTTGACCTTTCCTGGCTGGACACTCCGCTCTAAAAGCCTTGATGTGCGTTCACAAAAAAAGAGACAAATTAGGTCAGACTCTTTGCCAGCCACATATAGAGCTGACAGGCAAAGACGGACTGCATACTAGCTTATAATTCAAACCACATAGACTGTGACAGGTATTTGATTAATAGTTAAGTTTTTAAAGACAATCAGGATTTTTTTTTAATGTAATTGAATAACTGCAAGCTCTATTCCCTGAAAATATTGAGCAAATGGATAGTAAGTGGGGAAGAAAGTCCAATATTGTGTTATTTTCTAGTATTTATGGAAAGACAGTGAGGTGGCACTACGTGAGGGACCCTGCTAAACTGCTTCCAGCCACGCAGATGAGCATTTGAGACACAACAAAGTACAGAACACTGTACCTGAGCTGAGGCTCACACTGAGCACCCCAGCATGGAGATTTCACCTGCCTCAGCCCCAGCAGGATAAAGAGGAGAGAGGGTCCCACTCTCAACTGCCTCCTGGATGAGCATAAATATAGGTGCTTTGACACAGCCCCTCCTCTCTTGGCTCTTCCTTCAACAGAAAGGGCGCCCACAGAGATCACCCTCACTAAGCTACACGGAGCTGTCATGAAAACTACCCAGGCCATCTGCTGCTGACAAGCTAGAAGCAGAGATAATGGAGCTCGGACGAGCTGGCCTCAAACTGAGCTCAGCTTATTTCAAACTCTTCCTTTGACAATCCCTTTCCATGGACACTAACACAAGGCACCAGCAAGGTGTCTAAGGGGAAACAGTACAGGGCCCAACTCGAGGCACATGGCAATGAAACCTCCATGCTGGGATAAGACGGGTGTCACCCTTCACTCCTGTGTCGATGAGTCCCTTTGTGTCCTCCAGCACCCAGCACTCACCCTTACTTACCAGACACTCGATCGACACTATACATCCTCTCCAGCCTTTTTCTGTGCCACCCGGTCTCACCGGATTGATGCTGCTCCAGGTCAAAGGAATGCTGGGAAGGGGCAGCCAGCCGGGTGCAGTTTGGGCACTCCTTGGAGCCCTGCCGGCTGCCTGGCCAGCCCTTGCAATGCCTGCTAACTCCGTGAGAGCCACCAGTGCTGTGCACTTGGTGGCCATGGTGGCATTCCTCTTGGGCAGCCCCCTTCATCACCACCAGTTCCATACTTTCGTTCTCATGGTCCGACAGCATCGGCCTCTCGCCAGAGATTGTGTAGACTCGTGGCTTCGGTCCCTCACTTGGCATCTTCTCTGCCTGCTCCTCAGAGAAGCTCCTCTCAAACTTGCCGTCCGAGATGACAGAGAGCCTGCGCTTGTTCTGTGCTGCCTGCTGCATCTCAGGGGAGTCCTCCTGTCCGATGTAGGAGTCGGCTAACAGGTGATCTGAAACAAAAGGCACACTTTCCTTAAAACCAAAGCACCCCAGACACCGACAAATTCGGGAGGCTCTTTTGTTACTGCTGCAGAACAGGGAAGGGGGAGACAGACATGGTAGGTTCCCCCAGGAACCTTTTCAGACGAACACATGCCCATTGCCTTCTAAAACTCCAGAGCTGGTACTGAAATGAGAGACAATTCTCACAAATACGCCCAACATTTTAAGCATGCATGGCCACCAAACAAGGCAAGAAGGAAATGCAGGTCTCACTGCACAGCCTGAAAATACTTATGTGCAGAACAGCCCTTGTTCAGCTGTGCAGTCCTGTCTGCTTCAGCGGGTTTAGCCACGCAAGGGCTACTGAGCTGGTGAAAGTCTGCAGGACAAGAACCAGCACCAAATTCTCTAAGAAGTGACAAACTCTGAGTGTTCTGTGCATCAAGTTACAATTTTTTAGAACTAAGGGAAAGGTGCAAACCACCAGGGTTTGGCTCCTCCCCACCCCCCTCCCGATTTTCTGCCAATGGTTTGATATGAAAGAAATGCAAAAAGACTTCAGCCGACAGCTGCAACGCAGCGTCCCGCTCTCTGCGGCACCCCTGGTTAGCAGCCCTCATCGTGTGCGCAGATGGCGACCGCACAGCCTGCGGAAGCTGTCCTGAAGGAAAACGCAGCCGCTCCCTTTGTAGGGTAGGAAGATGGAAAGGAGAGAGGCCCATGAGTGCAACTATCTTTGGAGCCCACACGCTGGATGAAGTGCCAGGAAATCTCAGCATTTCCATGGCAATTCCATGCATGAACCCAACAGTAGCTCCCACCCACCTGGCTAATCCTTTTTTCAAGTGGCTGTTAATTACCTCTTACACTTCCCTTCAGATGGGAAGCAGCTAGGGGACTGTTAAAAAGGCTCAGCAGGGAACGCATTATTCATGTGACTACTACCCCAGAAAAAATACAGTCATTAGTGTCCAGCACAGACAGCAGCATTTTAAACAGAGGCAGAAAGCAAACCCAAGCCTTTACTTCACTAGATATTTAATGAACATCTTTCATTTAGCTACTGAGCCATGACCTGGAAGAACTCAGCAAGAATCTGAGGCTTGGCTACCTCGTAGCTGACCACGAAGAGATGAAGGAGGAAGAGACCTATCTCAGGACAAGTCTGATGTATGTATGCAACACGGACCTTTCACTGCTGCCACATTCTGCTTCTGATGACATGCCCTTGTGCCCCTCTGAAAAGAGCCCTCTTGAGCTGACAACGTAGACTTTTAGCTTTTGAACCTGAAGCCCTCCTGGCTTGTGCTCACATTGCCAAGGGTCTCTCCCCCTGCTCTCTTTGCAGCCCGGGCTGAACTGAATTTAGCTGGTACTGGTACGGTGTGTCACCCTTAGCTCATTTTTCTGCTTGAGATACAATTCCTCCAGCACCACCAGGGGATAAATACATCTCTGGCCACTCTGCTCAAGAAGTGACTGTCAGAACCGTTCAGGCTGACACAACTCAGGTTCATTTCATTTGTCACCCAGTGAGACCTCAGTGTCCAGACACTGTAGCTGGCAGCTGTGTGACTCCTTGAGCTGACCAGGAGAAGGAGCCTGTAGGAGTCCTAAAGAGAGCACTACGTCTCTTGAATCTAAAGCTTTCCAGACTTCATACGAAGTCCAAAACATATCCCTAGGTGTAGTGAGGAGTCACACACCTCACTGATACTGTTCCAGGTAAAGTATGAAAGGCGGGCAGTGGTCTACTTCACCCACGGTCTCCTGCACAGAGACAGCATGGACATCTGCACCTCCTCCAGGAGGACAACCTGATGGACAAGGGCCATCACCAGAACAATTGCAAGCCAGTCAAGCAGAAGAAGCTGCTCCACCAGATATAATTCAAGAGCTTGTCCACCAAGCCCTACCAGCTGCAGGATATGGTGTCATAGACCAACGAGTGCAGAAAGTGTTCACAGGCTCCAAAGTCTCTCCAACCACTTGTCACCCCTCAAGGAGCAGCAGGCCACCACATTTGCTCTCCAGAGACTCAGACCCTCTCCAGTTCCAAGACTAACTGTGCTCTAGAGTGGGCATGTCTTGGGAAAACACCACCAAATGACTCTTCAAGATCTGCCAAGATCTGTGCTGGCTAATAGTGCCAAACACACCATTTTTTAAATTAAAAACAAAGGCCAGTTCTAAGTACTCATCTCAACTTGTCAAACTTACTAATCTGTGTGGGCACAATGATACTACATATTTTTTAAGACACCACAAAATAGTGGCTGACAGCTGCCCCTGTTCCTCCTGAAATGAATACTTCTGTGGAAGATATATAGCCTCATTAGAGCAAACACACAGGGCTGTGCACCTTTACCCACACACTGACACCACCGCAATTCAGAGATCCAAGAATTTCTGAACTCTGGTGTCTGCGAGTAAATGAAAAAATGAAGTGCCCAAAGTATAGTATGTCTGAAAATGCTGATGATCACAAGTGCAGAGAGACCAATTCCAGCCTCTGTTTTATAAGCATCGAGGTCTGTTCAGCCCCATAAAATTTACAGACATGTAAGTGGGGCATGACTGGCTTCAAGTAAGAGCCAATTTTTTACTGAAACCATGGCAGGGTCACAATTCTTGACTGGATATATTTGACAAATTACCTCTCTGATCTAGCATGCAAAATGCGAGGACAATCCTTTCTTCCTGCCTTGTCCCTAACTCAAGGTGTTTTCATTTGTATTTATCTAGGAGTTTCCACGGTCTACACTACAAAGGCCTGTCACCATACCAATATGCTTTCTCTTTGTCAAACAACTGGATGATTATTTCCTTTCATTCAATTTAGCACCTTCAGTAACTACACATTGGAGAAAAAACTTCATATGGAAAGGGAATGTGAAGCTTTATCCAAGACTTTAGTTAATACAGAATTTATCTACAGAAAGAAAATAGCACGGAAGGAAAAGAGATTCAAACATCCATCATCATGAGTTATTGATTTCTAAAAACTAACCTACACCACTTATGGAGCAAGTCTCCATCAGCATTCACACACACACACGTTCACGTACACCAGCAGCCCAGAGATGTTACCAGTGACCGGTTCCCTTGTCTGTGCATGCAGTGGACTCGATTCAGCACTACACCTGCTTCTACTATGGCATTTTAGTTTGCTTCTGCTAAGAAAGAAGTCAAGCTGGTCCAGAAAGCAATGCCGATTTAAATCTGAGCCACAGGGATATTCCGTGAAGAGGACCGAGGAACAGCAGACTTCAGCAGTAATAGGAATTGCCTCCTAAGAGTCAGCTGAAGCAGACTGCTGTTAACACCCTCTGCCTGGTTACCGCTGCTCCATGTCATTTCATTTTCACATTGCTCTTGCCACCTCTCCCACAACCAGCTGCTCCATCAAACTGCCACGCCAGCCCAGGACAGCGTGACTGGGGAAGCCTGGCACAGTGCCGTCCTCTCCAGCCACTCCAGTGAAGCTGACCTGGTAACAACTCTGCTCTCCCACTTGCTTTCATCAGCAACACCTTTGCTTTTCATCAGCAACACACAGCTGCAAAGCTACCTTGGAGCAGACAAAGCAGGTTCCTCAGATTTCTTTTCAGCTAGATTCGTGCTCTATGTGGATTTATAGTGCCCGAGATACTTAACAGCAAGATGAAGGGAAGAGGACCAACATGCTTGATCTGTAGATCACGTGTCTATTGGTAACAGAAACATCCAAATCATGTTTTCGTCACTTCCCTGTCTACCTGGGCGGAGTCTAACGCCTGTCCAGAGCCTGGGGCTCAACAGTCCGGTCTGAGGGCCAATCCACTTCTCATACCCTTGTTGTTTATTTGTCACGTCTCTTTGGCTTCACTTGCTCCTCTCTGCTATCTCTTCCTCCACCTTCCAAGCAGCAGTGCCCAACACAGCTGTTAGGGCACGCGTATCACCAAAGACATGACGACTGACAGCAGTGATAATCTGTACTGATTAATTTGCAGTATCTTGGGAAAGAAAGAATCCACATTCTCAGTACATGTAGTTCCCGATAATTAGGCGCCTATTACTATTAGATACTTACAATACATCCTTCCTCATCCAGTAACTCTAACCTGAGCACTTGCTCTGACCCAGGTATCTAACTGTGAAAGTACTTTCACATTTGCTTTTGCTGTCACAACGTTTCCAGAGAGGAGACAACACGCTGGGATAAGCCTCAGCTGACTGATGCCCCTTCACAACAGTGGAGGGACTCACCAGCCAAACTCATATCTGATGCAGACTGCCTTGTAACCCCATGGGATGAGAAGTTTATAAATCAAGGCAGAATATAGCCACAAGGCATAGACAGAAGCTTAAAAAAAGAAGTCCCAAATTTATCACTGTATTTAGCAGCCAAACTGATGATTAAAGTACCTTAGATTTAAAACCTCAGCTCCAGCATCAGAAGCAAAGTGGCAAAGGGGAAACCAGATAAACCCTATTAAAAAAACATCTGTCATCTCAGAAAAATAAATTTCAGGGCAACAGTTCTCTCTTCCCCACTCCACCTCAGCTGGATCTCTCTGAACCTGATGTTTACGGTACCAACTTTAAATGAAAGAACCATCTCAGCCACTGAAGATTAATGGAAATATATGTATTTACAGTATATGGACCTGCGGCATTGTTCATAGGAGGAGGAATGAAGTGAATGCTTTTTTCATTTTACACCAGCAGGAGTCCAGGTGATACTCTCAATGAGGAGAGCGAACGGCTGCACTGGCTAGAGCCCAGAGCACTGCAAAAACAGCAACATCTTTTCAAACAGCACAGCAGCTTCTCTTGCAATTTCAGTTCTGAGACATCCTGTATGCTTGCCACTGCGCCTCAGGTGTACTAAGAGGCTGTCAGGTCCTGTTCTCCTCTGCTCTCTCTCTGCACGTGCATTGGAGCCATAATGCAAAGCTCCCTCCCACGTCAGCTCTGTCCTTCCCAAGGCTAATGTACTGCACCGTCACCCGGCCAGCACGGG